AAAAAATAAATCCACGTCTGAATTTAACGAATAAGGAAACGCCGCATGTGCCACGTCATTTTTTGGATGCCAGTAGTGTCTTTTTTAACGGTGCCGTGACGGTCCGTTAAAATGTTGAGTTTTTTACGGGTTTTAAAAAGTTAAGGGTGTGAATAGGGAGGAAAAATTCCGGAAGGTGTTGACAGTGGAAAACAATTAAGTGTAGGGTGCAAATAGAGGCTTTGGCCATATTTTTATATTATATATATTTTTTAAAACTTTATAATTTTTTTATATCTTAATAAATTAAAAAGTATAATAATAATTAAAATAAAAAATATGATATTAATAATTAAAAATGTAATAATAATATCAATCACTAATAATTTGTTTGTTCTAGTAGAATGGAATTGTTCCACTCAAATAAAACTTCGAATTCAAATATTATAAATAATAAAATAAATACTAAAAGAGTTTTTTTTAAATGAATTTTAATGTGATTCGATTTTAATTTTATCGTGATTCAATATGTTTTCGGGTATCAAGAGGTTAATAAAAAAAAAACAATAATATCGGTACGAGTGCAGATGATGCGCCCAACAGAGCCGTGGACCGCGGAGATCCAATCCACGCATCAACGCGAAGGACCGGAATTAGTGTTCTTGTTTTCTTTCGGACAAGGGTAAGGGTAGAATCGTCATTCCATTCGACGGTCATCACTGTCCTCCTCTACTAACCCCCCCCCCTTCCGCCGGATTCCAGATGCCAGATTCATCACCAGCTTTTTTACGGACAATTCCTCGTCGCTACCTCTCTACTCCGATCTCCATATCTTCTCATTTCGCTACCGCCTGAGGTCCGGTGATCGCTCTTTCTCAACTAAAGTTTAGTTTCTCAAGTTCTTATCTTTCGGAGAATTGCTTGATTGTTTGATTTTGTAGGTTTTTTTTTTATCTTTACGGGGTTTGCAGGTAAAGAGGAGTCTTTTTTTGGTGTAATCATGTCAAACCACTCTCCTCCTCACATGGGTATTCCTGAAGATCTCTTTTCTGTTGAGTAGGTTTTTCTGTTTTCATTTTCTTCCTTATTTTTCTTTTATTCTGTTTATAATAATTACTATGAAATTGAGGAACTTTTAGTCTCTTTGACAAAGACAATCAGAGGATCTGTTGATTTACTAGAATTTGCATTCAATTTTAGTAGTAAAACTTACGATTCTGTGTCCTTATTTTTCTAACTCTGTAACTCTTCGAGTTTTGACTAAGGAACTGGAACCATATATTATAAGGTATTTTACCAATCTGGTCATAAATCTGGCCATATTTGGTTGCAGAGTTAGTGAAAGTTTCTTTCATTCATTAAATTCTGTTAAGTGATGGTATATGTGTATCCTAGAAATAGTTGTTTTACGCATTTGTAATCTGCGGAAGTTAGGAAATGCAAAGGCATGATTACATACAGTCTTAGCATTTTTGTTGTTCCTTTTTGAATGTAGTCATTCTTAAGAGTTGAACTAAGCCTCTGTGTTTGTGACTGACTAAGGGAAGTTGTTTTAACTTGTGGAAACTAAAATTTTGGGTGGTCTACTCTCATGTTAAATTCTTCATGTTCTTTGCTTCATCTAAAATTGAAGATGGTTCTTTGATTTCACGGTACCTTTTTTTCCCTTTTGTTCCACAGTTACTCTAAGGTTAGTCCAAGTCGGTGATATTGTTACAAGGTTGAAAATCATCAATTATGAAATAAATAGTAGTTGGTCCTTGTGTCCCAATGGTTCATGTCCAAAGCTTAAGAGCTTGGTGACTCTCAAGCTTTTTGTTTGCCTTATGCCAGTAGCTCCCTTATGAATGAGGAGGGTTGCTGCTAGTATAAGTAATATTTCTTGAATTGGGTATGCTATGATGTTTTCTAACTGCAATTTATCCCAATTGTAGCTGGAATAGTGCACCAGATTCAACTGATTGCCACCAGAAAGAACTTTTGGAGAATGAGAATGATATCCATAATGAAAATAATAATTCTACTATTCTCATAAAGGAGGATGAAAATAATGATTCCACTCCTCCGACAAATGGGAACGAGAAAAATTATTCGACTTCTGTTACAAAGGAGAATGATTTGCTCCCTCCAGTTTATCCTTCTTCTTCTGGTGAAGGTTTTCCTTATGCTCCAATGAATTGGCCGAATCCTGGTGATAATTGGGGTTGGAGAGTGGGGAAGAGGTTCAATGGTTCTGGATATTTTCAAGATAGATTTCTATATCTTCCAACAAGTCTCCGACAGCGGAATTCTCAAAAAATGTTTGCTAGCAAACCAGCACTTGAAAAATATATCCAATCGCAGTTCCCAGATGCAGATATTGAAGCTTTCTTTGCCTCTTTTAGTTGGAAGATTCCTGCCATAATGGAGACCCCCGCAAAAGGTCAGCTCAAAATTAACGTTGTTTTTCTTTTCCTCAACTGCAGTAAATTTTCATGTTTGAAATAAGTGAAAAATTTATTGACGTTTTTTTTTTTTTCATTAAATATATTTTAACTTTTAACATTAGAGACTTCATTTCGATTTCATGCAATCAGATAGAAATTAAGTTAGCAATAAGAGTTCATTGAAAACAGCCCCTCTTTAAACATTTAAGGCAATGTTTCTTGTCTGGGGTGCAGATGATTATTAATGAAGAGTTCGTTTATTTATGGCAATTTTTCTTTTTTTTTTGTTTTCATTTTTGTTCTTCCCTTAACCCTGGAATTAGAAGTTCTACTATCAATGTTGTTTCTCTTGACTGCTTTACCAGGATTGTTTTCTTTGTTGCAGTGGATGTCCCCTCTGCCCCTCAAGAACCCCCTCCAGAAGTAGGAACAGAGGAGACTAAAACAGGACCCCGTGCCAGCCTGCGGAAAAGGAAAGAAATCAAGCAAGAAATTACTACCCCTGTAAGCGAACCAAAGAGAAAACAAAGCAAAAAAGGAACTCCCCACTCTAGCCAGGGTAAAGGAAAGCTGAAAGCAAGTGTGGCGCCAACCACATCTAAGCGACAAACTCGACAAACTCTCAAGCATTCTGTTGAACTTGCCCCCAAGGATACAGATGATATGGTTGACTTGTCTGTCTGGGCCGAAGTACCAACAGGTGAGAAAACTGCCACTTATTGAAGGCAATCAAGGTTTTGATCTCCATATTTACATGTTTCCTGAAAATGGTATTTTGACTTGACACTCCCCTGTTGAAATGGTTGCAGAGGAATTTGATAACTACCTCAATTCTCTGGACGAGATTCTTGCTCAGCCGCAGTCTGAAGGTCCAGTGCCTCATTCTGTGTCCATCAACTCTTCTGTCCAGGAAGATGAAATGGCTGAAGCTCGAATTAGGCTTTCATTGCTTCTTGACATGGACTTTTCTTCATTGATCCGCTCTCAAGACCTCATGGAACTCACAAGTCTTGCATCAAAACTTCAAAAGGATCCTAGCCTTAGTGCTGAACAACTTGTGAAGTTAAAGCTGATTGAAGAGATTCCATCATTCAGTGAAGTGTTTCTAGAGAACAAGGAAGTGATGGAGCAGGCAGACAAATTCTTTGAAGCACTTGAGGTCAACAAGGCCAAGGTTACTTCTCTGCGGAAAGAGTACAGCGAGTTAAAGGAACAGGCAACAGCACTGCAGTCAGAGGTGGATTCTAACTCATTGAACATACAAGAAATTGATGCACAGATTGCTCAACTTAAATCCCATAGAAATGAGCTGATGAAAATAATAGAAAATAAGAAAAAGGACAAGCTTGAGTTGAGCTACAACCAAAGGTTGGTGGCAAATTCAATCCCGAAAGTAGTGAATGCAGTTCAGGATGCTAACTCCAAAAGGCCAGAATGGGAGCGGAAGAAGGAAAATGCAATCAAGCGTGAGGCTGAAATTCTTTCTAAGTTTGCAGCTCTAAGAGGGTTTTCCTTTAGGATTGGTAATTTCCTTGATTTCTCCCATCCCTCACAAGAGTCCGCTCCACATGGAGCGAGAATGGAAGGTTTTTCATCTCATGGGAATGGAGATAGGGAAAAGTCCATCTCATTAACCAGGGGAAACTTCTCATCCCATGGACATGGAGATGGAGGAACCTTCATGCCCATGAACAGCTCCATCTCCATGCCAATGAACAGAGAGGGGACAGCTATGGAAGGGTATCCTACTGTCCCTCATTCTCGGGGCCCCCTATCATGGTTATAGGGTTGTGTTGTCTAACAATCGTTTATGGTTGAATCTCACTGTTGTAGTCATCCCTATGAAGTTCAGTATCTATGCCAGTATAAGTTATTGAAGGCGTCTTGATAAATGTTTAAATCCTCAGACTAAATTAGCTGTATGATAATAATCATGTTTTTGCTCAACTGTACTGGATTATTGACTTGGTTCGGTAATCAGTCTATTTGTTTGGCCAAAGAAATGTATTTGAACTTCTTCTTCTTTTTTCTTTTTTTTTTATAATTTTCTAATAAGGTGTTCAGGTTGCTTGATTTCATGATGTTTAGATACACTCAAGTGTAGCCCTCGTTTGTAACAAAATAATCAATACATTGTAATAAACTAATTTTTTTTCAATTGCAATTAGGAGCAACACTCGTTCATTTGAGCATCTTTGTTCATTTGTCGCTACGATATTAAACAAGGATAACACTGTCCCACATCAAATAATTATTAAAAAAAATTAATTTCTTTAGATATCAGAGGATAACGGAAAATTGCTGCAGTTGTATCATGCATTTCGAATTACGGTTGAGGGTTTTTTTAAGCATTCATGTAGTATTTTTAAATATATATGTGTTTGATAATTTCTTTTAAATTGTTTTTTTTAAACCATAAAAAGTCACAATAAATTTATAGTAATTTTATGTATAAAATCAAAAACTTCGTTTTAGAACTTTTTTATTATGGTTTTTATGGAAAACACTTAATATTTAATATAATTATAAAATTACCCATTAAAATTTAATTGCATGTAATTTAATTACATCATAATTTATAATATTTCAATAATTAAAAAAATTTTAAAAACCTAAATTATTAAAAAAAAGTAATTTAATTACATCATAATTTATAATATTTCAATAATTAAAAAAATTTTAAAAACCTAAATTATTAAAAAATAAAAAATATTATATATATTAATAATTATATATCTTATAATATTTTAAATTTTTTATTAATAATTAATAAAATCTATTATATTTCATCTATAATACTTTTAAAAAATAACCAAACACAAAAATAATTTTCAATTGCAGTTACAATACAATACAATTACAGCTAAGTACAACCACAACTACAGCCACCGTACTTCACAATAATCCCAAACGCACCCTAAGTAATCAAATACTTTTTCATTTATGCCAAGGGTTTTCTGGCAAAAATTATTTCAACTGTCTTAAGGTCTTGATTGAATGGTAGTTAAAATTCACTTTCTTTTAAAACAAACGAAAATTTCCAATTTATAAGCCCCACTAGATCTTGAAACTGTTAATATCTTGATCCTGAATAAAAGAATCCTTAAAAAATATTATCTGAAGTTATCACCAGTAATCTCTACAAGAGCAATGCCCATCCTTGAATCGATGGAATCGATTGTTATCTCTCACAATGATTTCTCTCCCAACAATGCCTGAAATAAACTTGAAGGCACTATGACAGTCTCCACAAATCTTAAGGTTCTTTGTGATTCTAATAGGGACACCAGGAGGGATGGCTATAAGACCAAAAGCAAGTGCTAGCTTTTCACTGTGGTACCCAACTTCTGATATTTTCTCTTCTTCTTCTATATCATAGAGGGCAAAATTTGTATCCGGAGTATATCCAGCTGCCTTCATCTCCCTTCTCAGCTTAGCTAGCATTGCTTGTATCTCAGAATTCCTTTCATGAGATGTATCTTTTGCTTGGAAGACATGGACTCGGTTCTTTACTGCAATCCAGCTGAAACCAGCACCTTTTTTGATCCCAACATCTTTCATTTCCTTCCTCACAAGGTCAGCCTCCTCCCATCTGCAGTAGTTTTTTAGAACAATTAGTAGCTAAAATGAGAATTCAAAACTTTTTCAATTGCCTCCCGCAGTTGTTCACAACTAATGAGTGTATTGTATAGAAAAATCTAGGTAAGTTTGGGGTTGTCACGAGTTTGACACTCAAGAAATTCCTCAAGACCTGAGTTCAAGGTGTTATACACAAGTAATGAATGTATTTCAATGCAAAATCCTGGTAAGTTTAAGTTGTAGTGAGATTGTCGTTTTGGGAATTTCTCAAGACTAAAGTTCGGAAATAACTGATAAGAGTGGTTTTGTGAAATGGTATTGCTACCTGCCAGCAGCTGCAAACATATTTGATAGCAATACATGGTTGCCGGAATCTTTAGGATCAAGTTGAAATAGTTTCTCAGCTGCTATCTTCCCCAACTCTGGTTTTCCATACACCCTACAAGCATTTAACAGAGCCCCCCAAACAGAAATTGTTGGAGGAATTGTCATTTTTTTTATAAACTCGTAAGCACGTTCTACCATTCCAGCTCTTCCTAGCATGTCTACAACACAAGCATAGTGCTCTGCCCCAGGTTCAATTCCATACCTTTCCTTCATTGATTCAAAAATCTCCATCCCTATTTTCACTGCTCCTGCCCTGCTACAAGCTGATAATACACATACCAAAGTCACATAGTTGGGAACAACTCCATGGCTGCCAGATGTCATGGCTTGAAACAATGCCAAAGCAGAGTCTGATTGTCCTTGATGTGCATAACTGCCTATCATAGCATTCCAAGTGATCAAGTTCCTCTCAGGCATTTCATAAAAAGATTGCTCCGAATCCTCTATACTCCCACATTTACCATACATGTCAACAAGGGCACTTCCCACAAAAATGTTCCCTTCAACACAAGCCTTAACCGCTAGTGCATGAACTGACCTACCCAATTCCAGTCCTGCAATACCTGCGCAAGCACTGAGAACACTCGAAAGCATAAAATCCTTAGGCTCAACACCTGCATCCATGGCTTGTAGAAATACCAAACAAGCGTTCTCTTCCTCATTATTTTGCTCATAAGCAGCAGCCATTGAACACCAAGAAACATCATTCCTTTTCTCCATTGAATCAAAAACCATCTGAGATGATTTTACCTCCTTACATTTGCCATAAAAATCAATGAGCCCATTAGACAATGACAAAGACCCATCAAACCCACTTCGAATCGCAAAACCATGCAGTTGCCTCCCCAATTCCAAATACTGAGCATCTGCACAAGCATTGAGAAATGCACAGAAAGTTATTGAATCAGGTTTCCCACCTGCACGTCTAAGTTCCAGAAACGCTTCCACCGCCTGTCGGGGCCTGCCATCGAGCACCACATTAGAAATATACGCATTCCATGCTGTGATACTTTTCTCAGGCATTTCATCAAACAACTTTCCGGCATCATTTCTAAGCCCTGTTTTCAAGTACATGTCAAAACAACTGCACCCAACAAACACGTCGAAAATCTGGGCAGACTTCAAAGCTAGCGCATGAAGCTGTTTCCCAACACGAGGCATACGGAGGAAAGCGGAGGCCTTGAAGGCACAAGGGAACGTAAAGTCGTTAGGCGAAATGTGCTCTCGGCGCATGTCAGAGAAGTGCAGCAAAGCGGATGCGAAATAACCGTGCTGGACGTGGCCGGAGATGAGGGTGGTCCATGTGACAACGGAGCGGTCTTGGGGCGGGGTGAGTAGGAGGACGAGATGGGCCAATTCAGGGATGTCGAGTTTGGAGTACATGTTGATGAGGTGGTTGGAGAGGAAGGATGGGAGAGGGTGGGCGAGAGTTTTGATGATTTGGGCATGGGTGGCGCGGCCGAGGAGAGGAGATTGAGTAGATACGGCTGATTCGAGGAGGACGGCGAAGGAGTTGGGGTTTAGAAAGGGCATCGGTTGCGGTTGTTCCGGCAGTCGTCGCTGCCAACCATGAAGGACTGTAATTAGAATTTGTGGTTCTTTCGGTCGGACAACAGAAGGGTAGAATCGTCATTCCAGCGACATTCATCACCGTCCTCTTCTTACTATCACCGGATTCTAGATGCCAGAGATTCTTCGTGCCACTCTCTACTCCGATCTCCAATCGTCTTATTCCACTGCTGCCGGATATCCGGTGATCTCTGTTTCTCAACTAAAGTTTAGTTTTTTTTTTTTTTCTCTCTGAGAGTTGCTTGGTTATTTTTATTTCTGTAGCATAATAGGCAATAATTTTTTTTTTATTTCAACCTACCCATATATCATATGTAATGTAATTTAAATTTAAAATTTTATATTTTTAATAAAAAAATTATTATTAAATTATTTATATTATTAGTGCTTAGTCAACTATCTAAATGATTCAGCAGTGATTTTCTTTCATTGAAAATAAAATATCATAAATTTAAATCATATAACATACGAGTGGAATGAAATAAAGAATAAAAGATGATTATCACCCATTATGAAACCAAGATAAAAAAAAAAAATTGTTAGTGCCTGATTATTTGGTTTTATTAAATGTTACCACTAATATTATATGTCTGTTATAGAAATAGTTGTTTTCCTACAAAATAAAAAAATAGAAATAGTTGTTTTACCCATTTGTAATCTGCAGAAGTTATGAAATGCTAAGGCATAATTACACACAGTCTTGGCATTTTTGTTGTTTCTTTTTGAATGTAGCCATTCTCAAGAATTGAACTAACAACTAAACTTCTGTGTTTGTGAGCAACAAAGGGAAGTTGTTTTGACTTGTGGAAACTAAAACTTTTGGGCGGTGTAGTTTCATGTTAAATTCTTCATATTCTTTGTTCCATCTAAAATTGAAGATGGTCTTTTGATTTCACAGTACCTTCTTTTCCTATGTGCTCCATGGTTCCTCTAAGATTAGTCTAAGTCCGTGATATTGCTACAAGGTTCAATCATCAATTATGAAACATATGGTAGTTTCAACTTTCAACTTATTTTCAGTAATTTCATTTGTAAACTGCTTTAGAAGAAATATTTTATAAGTGAATCGGCCCTTGTGCCCCAATGGTTCATGTCGTAAGCTTGAGAGCTTGTTGACACTCAAGCTTTTTTTGTTCATCCTTGGGCTGATGGATCCCTAATGAATGAGGAGGGCTGCTGCTAGTAGTGGCATCCTTGCCCCTCCCCCCAAACTTCCCCTTGTTAGGGAAAAAGGAAAAAAGTAATATTTTTTGAATAGGGTATGCTATGGTGTTTTCTAACTGCAATTTATTCCAATTGTAGCTGGAATAGTGCACCAGATTCAATTGCTTGTCATCAGAAAGAACTTTTTGAGAATGAGAATGAAATCCATAATGAAAATAATAATTCTACTCCTCTCATAAAGGAGGATGGAAATGATGGATTTTAACTCCCCTTTTTCTTTTTTTCTTTCTTCTTTTTTTTTTTTTATGATAAGGTTGGAAAACTTTCCCCAACCAAACAGAACCTCAAGGCATAGGTGCAGCAAATGAGGGGAAGAGGTTTGTGTTGCTTGATTTCATGTTGCTTACATACCTGTCCTCTGTTGATGCAGAAATCCTTCAATATCTCCTTTGCTACAATCTTCTCTTCGAGTTAACCTATAAGGCTCCAAGGGTGGTCATCGGAGTAGACACTCCGATGCTTAAGTTAGCAATAACATGTTCTATGCTTTCTTGGAAGGAAGTATGAAAGAGTTCTTGATTGATTTCTTATCTTACCTTTTTCTAGTAGTTCGTGGAAACATTTGTATATGTTGACAGGGTATTCACGTGACTCGCTTAACCCAGTAATCATGACATGATTTGTCTGACAGAACATACGTTTTAAGTTAACGTAACATGCCTTAACGGAGCAATTGCATTAAATGAACATGATGTGTTCTGACAAAGCAGGTCTTTGGGAACAAAGAATTAGACAAGGGCAAGTGATCAAGTAAGGGTGTTCCTATTGTAACTGTTGTACACCCTGCTTTGAGCTCTGCTCTACTCTTACATCATCCATGATTGCATGTCCTTATTTTTGTTTTTTGCCTTTAGGAAAAATTCTTCAATACAAGAGGAATAGTACCCTTGTCCAAAAATATAGTGACATATTAATATGTGATTCATAATAAATAATATAAAAAATTATAATGAATTAATCTTTTTAATTACAAATAGGCAGTCAAAAAGGCCTGCCGGCTTAGTGGTCTAGCATCTTAATGTAAGTCTTCTTCACCATGGTAAGGGTTCGATCCCCTTTCCCACCCCCTCCCCCAAACCACTTGCCCTAATAAAAAAAAAATTACAAATAGGCAGCATTCTGCATTAGCTTAGCTAATTTGTCTGGTAATATTATTAGATTGAAATGCAGCTGTCCCCCATCCATTTTAATGGTGAAGAACATGCCTATCTTGTCTTCAGCTGATTTGGGGCAAAAACTAATATTTAGTATTTCACCTTACAAAGTTAGTAGGTTTTAACCCTTTATCTTATAATATAACAGTTTTAACATTTTATCTTACAAAGTTAGTACGTTTTAGCCTCTCACCTTATAACATAATAGTTTTAACCTTTTATCTTATAAAATTAGTAAGTTTTAGCCCCTCACCTTACAAAGTTGATAGGTTTTAACCCCTTACCTTATATTATGATTTTTTAGCCCATCACTGATACGAATTAAAGAAAATAACCTTCACCTAACATCAGGTTATAATGTTTTGTTAGTTGAATGTTAACATCCGTTAGCATTTCGCTATAAAAAACATGAAATTTAAATTCAATTTTATTTTTTAGTTCCATTAACGAAATGCTAACGAATGATAATAGATACTAACAGTTAATTAACAATCAATTAACAAAATTAACAGTCAGTTAACAAATTGACAGTCAACTAACAGAATTGACAGTCAACTAACAGAACTAACAGAACTAATATAACATTACAGTTTGATGTTAAATAAGGGCTATTTTATTCAATTCGTACAGATAAGGGATTAAAAGTATTATAATATAAGGCGAGGAGCTAAAACTTCCCAACTTTGTAAGATGAGAGTTTAAAACCTACCAACTTTATAAGGTAAAAGGCTAAAAGTGTCATATTATAAGGTTGAGTGCTAAAACCTACCAATTTTATAAGGG